GCGCTCTCAGTGGATCCCACGGCCAGGTATCGAGAATTTGGACTGAACCTGAAAAAAAAAACACACACGGAGGTCAAGAAAAAGGTTAAGTCGCCGTAATGAACTGTGAGGATGTTAACTCCCCACACCTCAGAGAAAAAGGTTCCACCCTGACCTGGGGTTGGTGATGTTTAGCAGGAGGCTGGGTTTTTATTAAGGGAACAACTACAACTACATGGATACACAGAGCAGTCCTGGCTCCGTCAGTACCTTATATCCTGGATGGGGGAGCGTCGGTCTCTCTTCTTGCCCCAGATTTTGAGTGATGCCACCAGCAGGATGATGAACTCTCCGTTCTTCATGCCGATGGCCACCATGTCTCCCTCAGGACTGTAGCTGATGGTGTGGGCCGGGTGGCCCAGGTTCACCTTGTTCAGCATTTTCTGTTTACCCACAAGGCATCACAACATCACCACCAGCTGTGAAGAAGCCTTCTAAAATGCCGAGTCAACACCACCGACCTTCTCCGGGATGTCCCACAGACGGACCGTTCCATCCTCGGCCGCCGACAGAAACACGTCTCTGGACGGATGTGTGCTCAAACCCCAGATGGGTCCATCCATGTGTCCGTTCACTAAGATGTTGCAAGCTGCGTTTTTCTCCCCAACTTCGATGATCTCTGCATTTCTGGTGCCTACGAGGATTTTACCCTGAGACAATAACAGAGAGAGAAAGATAAAAAAAAATGAAGACTGAAGTCACAGAGTAGTTAATTTTACAGAATGGGATCGTTTACTCATCACTGTGCTGTATATTTACACAACACGGTTGGTAAACCCCAGTCATGTACTGCTTCACTCCACTAGATGGCACTGTTGCATTTACCAAGGTTCTACAAACCACCGTTCTGACCTTGATTTTCACCTCACATTCAAGTTCTTAAAGTTGCACTAATTCTTTACCTGTTTAGGCAACAACGTAATGTTTCAGAGATTTTTCAATCTTATTTGAACCATGTATAAAAAAAGACAGCTGTAAAGAGTGTGTTCAATTCTATAAACTTGAACATACAGAACAGTTTTTTCTGGTATTTCTTAGACCTCAAATAAAACTAAAATTGCTTTTATTGAATGGATTCTGAATTTCATCATTTCATTTGCGTTGGAATTAATGCTAAATAAATAAAAGTAAATTTACAGTAAAGACACCTGACCATGTGACCTCTTATTTACCTTCCCTCTGCAGACGGAGCGGACACAGTCAATGATCTGTCCAGTTTCTAGTCTAAAAGCTCTGCAGCGTTTCAGCTCCTGGTCCCAGAGTTTCAGAGCTCCGCCTTCTTTTGATCTGTGGAAGAAAAAATGATCAGCTTCACTCAGTGGTTGAAGAAAAAAAAACACTTTTAAATTAATGTGTTTTTTTCCTAGGGATGTCCGATAACAACGACCGATATAATCGGCTGATATTAGCATAATTATGTAATTGCGCTAAGAATCATTATCAGTTTTTCCTTTGATAATGCAAACCTGATAACGCAATGATCACGTGTGTCAAACTCAAGGCCTGGGGGCCAAATGTGGCCCGAATGCGGCCAAATGCGGCCCGCCAAGCGTGGGAGCTTAAAAAGCATTTAATAAAGTCCATGCAGCAGAGTTTCTTAACCTGATAAATTAAATGTTAATTTAAAGTAAATTGTTTTTTTATTACGCAGCAATGAACAATATCTGTAACTCGAATAAACATAAAATTTGCTTTATATATATATCTGGTGATATCAGAATTGTAAACTAAGTGTTTGGCATATCAGATATCAGATATCAGTAAAAAAGTATTTTTTACTCCAGTTCACATTACATATTGCTGATATATTAGCTGCGATGATGTCAGAGAGACTCTTTCTTATTGGTTGTCAGATGAATGTACTCACGGCCTTTCTTTGCCCCCGGTGACGATGAGGCCGTCCCTCAGTGTGGTGTACATGGTGAACACTGGGCCCGTGTGGGCCTTGGCCACTATTCTGACAAGAACATGTTCCTTCCACACACACACATCCCCACTTATGGTACCTGTAAATGTCAAGTTATTCTGAAAAGAAAACAAATCTGCACTAATCTAGTGGCCTAACAGAGCACAGGCAGCAAAAACACCG